ATTTTGGAAAGGGTACTCCAAATTTGTTATTATTATTTCCTTCCATTTTGGGATCATAAACTATAAAGGGTTCCAAAAATGGAATTTTATAAATGTGATGGAATAAATATGGCGTTGCATTAAGGTTAAGGTTAAGATTTCGTTTGGGACAATTTTTTTACTGCTTTATAAAGCTGTAAGAAAATCATCACAAATGAAGTCTAAATATGTTTAAAATATGTCAAGGATGATTCATAGACATGTTAGAGCATATTTATAATTATTACATCTAAATCTATTTAAAATTTTTAGTACAACTTTTTGTTAATAACTATACATAAATTTTTTATAATTATTACATCTAATAAATTTCATCATAAAAAATTTTAGTACAACTTTTTTTTTAATAATTAGACATAATTTTTTTTTTATAATTATTACATCTGATTAATTTCATCATAAAATTTTTTTTGAAACAAAAAAGATATAATTGCTTCCCCAAAAAATATATTATATATATAATAGCGGAACTGGATTATGATTAATGTTCTGAAAATAAAATTGTGTGACAGCCGCACAATCCAATTTGGACAGTTGGCTGTTAACTGTCGAAGGGAAAATTATTGGGTCAGGTGACCGGAGACGAAAAATAAGTTCGAACATCCAATAAAAATTTGTCGCGTCACCTTGCGCTTTTGACTGCGCTTTTGAGTTGTGCTTTAGTTGCGCTTTACTTGCGCTTTACCTGCGCTTTACCTGCGCTTTAGTTGCGTTTTTTGAGTTGCGCTTTACCTGCGCTTTACTTGCGCTAAATTTAAAATAATATTTTATTAATATCCGGACCTATCTCTGCATTCGGTCACCTAACCCAATAATTTGCCCTGTCGAAGGGGAATTTTTATTGCGTCCTCCCACCTGACGTAGAGATGCGTCCTCCCAGAGCTAAAATCGAGCTAAAAACGAGAAATGTCAAGCAAATACCGAGCAATACCAAACAATAACGAGGAATATCATCATGTGAATACCAATACCGAGCTATACCGAGCAATACCTAGCAATACAAAAAAATACATAGTTTTTCCTAGAGAAAACTCGGTATGTGCTCGGTATTGCTCGGTATAACTCGGTATTGGTCTTCACATGATGATATTCCTCGTTATTACCAAATAATATCTAACAATACCGAGCAAAAACTGAGTTTTTTGATGTTGGGAGGACGCATCTCTACGTCAGGTGGGAGGAAGCAATAAAAATTTTGAATGTGACATAGTTTATCAGAAAGTTCATTACTTCTAGAAAAATTAACCCACAAATACAGATATCTCAAGAAATAATAAAGACAAATCATCATAAGCCTCGATCAAAATACAAAGATGAATGGCCGCCTCCGGCCTGATTCCCACTTCCAACTCGCATGTTTCTTCTCATGTCGGTCACCATTTCCAGCTGCCTCGGTGACCTGACTGCCGGCAAGCTTCCGGTACTCGTCGTCCTTCTTGCTCGGTTTCACGCGGCAAGTAACTCTTAATACTCTGCTCGTGACTGCTGCCTCTTCTCCAAAACAACCAAGCTCAGTAACTCCACCGCTGCTGTTTGGTAATGGAAAAGTACTTTTCGAGCGTCGAGATTCTGAAGAAGGAAAGGTCGGCGTTGTTCCACGTCGTCAATTGCAATATTCTCATCGATTCTCCGTTCCCGGCTAAGAGAACGGTGGGTGTCCGTAAGGTGTTCGATAAAATGCTTTCCAGCGTTTCACTCCTAGATTCAATGGAAGGCACTGGCACGGCACTTTTGGTCACTTGAGATATGAGGTTCAAGCATCCGACAGTTTGCGTGCGTTTGTGTCCATCGCGGGTACCCAGGAAATCTGCGGGGAAATCGCTTCGCGGCCCGGAGTTGGGTAGTGCTGGGAAACTACTCGTTCTTCGGTTTTCTGAGATTCTTAAACAGTTCTCCAAGCGAAAACCTGTCTGTTCTCCAGTGATTGACGCCAGGCCTCGTCATCCCCACTGGTTCGAGTATAGCAAGCTCATGAAGGAATTTAAACAGGCAGGCCAGGTTGATCAAGTTCTTAGGCTTTTTCAGGAGATGAAATACTTCAACTTGTGGCCAGACATGGTTTGCTACACCATCGTTATGGACAGTTTGGTGATGGAGAATCGCCCTGAACAGGCATTGGCTATTTTTCAAGAGATGATCACTGCTGGTTTAGCTCCCGATACAGCTTGTTGCACTGTACTCGTGAAGTTGTATTCTTTTTGTTTAAAACAGTTTGATTCTGCTTTTGAAGTCATCTTGTGGATGAAGAAATTTGGTTGTAGTCCGGATACCTTCACCTACTCGACGTTGATCGCTGGTCTTTGCTGGGATGAGAGAGTGGAGGAGGCATTTGGGGTGTTGGATTACATGCTAGATGATGAATGTCCACCGAATGTGTATACTTACACCCCAATTGTTAATGCTTATTGCTCTATGGGAAAACTTAATGAGGCCAAGAATTTGGTGAAGACTATGGAGAACACAGGTTGCTTACCTAACAGTGTGACCTATAACGTATTGATCAAAGCCTTTTGTAAGATTGGAGCATTTGATGAGGTTGATAAGATTTTAGAAAAAAGTGGACTAAATGGTTGGAAGCCAGATGTGGTAACTTATAGCACTTACATGAATGGTCTCTGCAAGTGGGGCAAGGTGGATTGTACATTCCAATTACTAGAAATTATGCTTGATAATGGGTTAGTTCCTAATGCAGTTACAGTGAATATCCTTCTTGATTGTCTTTGTAGTGGTTCTATGGCTTGGGAGGCCAAATGCTTGTTGGAGAGGAGTGCCGAATTAGACTGGGATGCCGATGTTATTAATTATAATACCGTCATGAGCCGACTTTGTGATGAGGGTAGTTACAGGGCTGTTCTCAAGCTCTTCACTGATATGCTAAAGAATGGTATCACTGCAAATGCTTGGACGTTGAGCATTGTGATTCATAGTCTTTGCAAAGCTGGAAAGCCTCATGAGGCACAATGCCTATTAGATAGTGAAGGTTTAGTTGCTAATGTAGTAACATATGCCACTCTAATTCATTACTTCTATTCAGCAGGGAAGGTCCATGAAGTTTCACTTTTGTTTTCTAAGATGGTGAAGGCTAACATTGCCCCAAAATTTTCCGCGTGCAGTAGTATGATTGACTGTTTTTTTCAAGAAGGAAACTATTGGAAAGCTATCTATTGTTTCCTCAGATCTCTTGGACAACAGTCATCACTAAGGCTTTGTTTGGTACGGCTTTCTTATTGCTTCTTAAAGTAGTTTCGTAGTACAAAAATTAAAATTTATGTGCAAGAAAGCTGCTTTAAGAAGCAGCAAGAAAGCCGTCCCAAATGAAGCCTAAATCTTTTTGCATGGCTAATTTGTTAGTTGGTATCAGGGGGGAGAGTTAGATTTGTAAGGTGTTTAATTGAACAAATATTGGAACAGGGTATTGTTGGATTTGTGCATATATCATTGGTTTATCAAGACATTTTCTAAGAGGAGTTTACATCACCTGCTACATTTTGGATAGAATGCTGAGCATTAGATAACTTCAACTGCAACCCTTGTTTTAAGTGTGGTTTGCATATCATTGAGGATGAAGAACATCACTAGCGTGGTAATTTTCTTCGTCATTATGCATTAATTTTCTGCTACTAATTAAGTACATTAAGTTTGAATTGATTTTGCTTAAACAATCGATACAATTTACATCACTAGATGATCATTTTGTTATTGCCTAATGTTCATCTGAATTTCCAGAATTTAAATGGTCTTATTAGTGTGCTAGCTTACGTAAGATGACCCTGTAATTTATGAAGAAAACACATAATTAGATTTTATGTTTGGATGCTCTCGATACTTTTTTGCCATTTTCTGCTGGCAAGGTACTCTCCATCATCGTAGTTTAGATTATACCTCATGTTTTTTATGCGTGTTGTAGTGATCATCTTCTAGGACTAGAAATTTCTAATGCGCGAGTCAAAGAAAATTTGAAAAGAGAAAAGCATCTATGCTGGGGAAATCAAGCCTCTTTAAGTGCAGTATTTATCCTGAAGATTTAAAGATGGACTTGCTTGACTTTAATATTTTAGAGCTGTAATTGAGAAATTTCCACTTGTCCCTAACTTGTAAGTATTGAGGCTAAGTATAAGGTCAATATTTTGGAATGTAATTGTATCATAATTGTCAGATTAAAACCAACTGCAACCTGAACTTAATTAATAGCAAAGTTATATGGAAAGATATAGCGAACATTGCTCTTCCCTCTTTCTTTTTTTTATTTTGTCGAGGGAGAACTCATATGGGAGGCTCCATACTTGCTTGTACTATTTGTACTCTTTGTACTCTTCTTTTGCTTTTTATATTAATGCAATATGCAACTTTCAAAGAATTAATGGCAAAGTTATATTTGTAAATGATGGTGGTGAAGGAAGATCAAAAGTGTGTTGCAATGCAATTATGCACTGCCTTCAAAATGATCGAATAATGCACCTTTATGAGCCATTCAAATAACATGCAATCTTACGTAGAAAACAAACCTTGCATGTGTACTATTTGTGTAAAATATGGTAAACCGGTGATTCACCACAGGAGGAATCTTTAATGGTGATGATATTAATGACTTGTTGTTTTTTGGCATTTGAATTTTAGTTTAGTAAATATTTAGTGGAGTTTCAGCTTCTTCCTTGTGTGACAGCATGCATGTTTAACCACTTCTATACTAATACTAAAAAGTGGCTTGATATTTCACTAAAGAACAATCTTTTGATCATTCATTTCATAAAATTAATCTAATTCATTTGTTTCTCATATACGGTACTTATATTTTTCTTTTCCTAACCTTTAAACATGGCATAAAATTTTGAGAGAGGCCTTTAATCTTCCCTTTTTTTCTCTCCACTCGCTGTTCATCATCTCACTCATTTCTGCCATGATTTCAGAACACCCTATCTCCTCTTCCTACTGATATTCCTCCTTCACCTGGCTTAGCATAGATGTCAGCAATCAGAGTTTTGATGTTGGAGATGAAGACAAGGCCACTGGCTCAGCGCCGCTTCAGAATGTGGGCCTCCTATCTATTGATGTCCTCCTGGTAAGTAACATCTTTTTAATTCTCTTCTTCCATTCTATAGTTTTGCAAGCTTTTGTTGCACGGTTGGGGGGTTTCCATTGCTTGAATTATGCGCAGTGTTAAAAGACTTCAATTTAGAACTTTAGAGTTTTAATGAAGATCACTGTTTCATCCCATTTTCCCTTGGCAGTTTTTCTCTCTTCAGTTCTACTTGTAAACAATCCGCTTACATCTCCTGCTTATGTGAGTGAACAAAGACTTCCTTGCTGACTAAAAAGTAGGCCTTTTTTATAAGAAGCTCGTTGTTGGTACTTTAAAATATTTTGACTGTTTATAGAGAATATAGTCTCAACTTTTTACCATGCATTTCCATAAAAGAATTGTCTAGTTTACCTATTTTGAAAATTTTGCTTTATAGATATCAAGATGATTTTACTAATGGAAGGCTTGCATAACATATTAGGGAAACTTTGTTTATTGGCTTTAGGTGATGTTGCACTAATTTTGGGGTGCATTCTCTTTATAAGGTGAGTATTATATTTTTTAGTTTTGTTGGTTTATGTTGTAACTTTTTTTGTCAAACTTATGGAAGACTGTAATGGTTCGTGATTTTGCTTCTTGTGGTGTAAGCATATTGTTTGGTGGTGCATGGCAGCTCGGGGCTAGTGTGAGGTAATTGAAGGTGTTGAAGGAAGATTTTTTTTTAGGGAGTGTTATATCACTGCATATGCACACAATATAGTATTGGAAAGTGATAGCTACCTTTCATCCGTCTCACAGTGTTGTATCAGTTTCTTTTTCTGTAATTAGAGATTTAGAATGCATAGCTATCCTACGAAGTCATTGATTCATTCAACTACTATTTGAGCAAGTCTACTTAGACTGGCATGAGATCTGGATCATCAATTGGTTAATTTTTATCTTCACTTAGAGGCAAAATATGAAATGAGTTCATACATGAAAATGTTGGAGTAGCTCCAGTGATAGAAAAGATTAGAGAGAATTGCCTTAGATGGTTGGTCATATAAAACATCAGCCTTCCGATGACACAATTAGGAGAGTAGATGTATTAGATCCGGCCTATGTTAAGAAAGATAGAGGTAAACCTAAAAAGATTTGATTAGAAAATATTAAAAATAATATTTTTATTAGATTTAAATAAGAATTTAACTCTTAATAGGACAAAAGGAGAAAAAGGATTCACGTAGCCGACCCATGTAGTGGGATAAATGCTTTATGTTGTGTTGTTGTTGTTTCTCTATCAACTTGTTTAGCAATGAGTGTTTGTGATTGAAGTTTTTTCAACTATGATCATGCCAAATTCCTTTTTTGTAGTGTGAATCTTGATTGATACTAAATTTTTATATTTAATCACCTTTTTTGTTGTGCAATTTAAAATTTTATCGATTTTTAAATTATCTTTTGGAATGGAATAATTTTTTTTGTTGATTTTTGTATCAAAAGTAACTGCTATTTGCTTGAATTTAAAGTTGGTAATCATCGAATTGTTTTTTTTTTCCTTTGTGGATTAAATCTTATATTTGTATTAGTGATGCCTGGACTCCTAAGCATCATGTATCAAGTTGATATAAGAGTTTATGGTTGCATTGTCATGTCAATTAAAAGCATGACACGATAAGTGGGTCAATTAGAAAAATAATAAAAGATGAAATCTAAATAAAATTTGATAAGTTGTTTTAAACAAACACGTTGTATCTATTATGATCGAAATTACATTCATACATTAACAGGAAGCATAATCTATAGGAATTTCTAAATAATCATTGATTTAGTACACTTCATTGGGTATTACTATCAAATTAAAAAAAAAAGTATCTAAATTAGTGGATCACACTTAGTCTTTTCATAAAGTATTAAAGTGAATTAAAAGGCATGTGGGCTGACCGGCTGACCCAAGGTATAAATTTAAGGAATGATGTATGTTATTTGATGATTATATAGATCATTATATGAACGAGTGTTGTAGTCAAAGTGAATATAACTTGGATGAATATTATTACAAATTTTTATGAGTCTTGTAGTTACAACTTATTTGGCTTGAGATTATTTTCAGTAAAGATTTTATCAGATTATGAGTGAACTAAGCTATAATTTTTCAAAAATACTAAACTAGGTTAAAACCACACATTTGAATGTCAAGGCATATTATGAGAGTTATGTTAGGGCTTCAACACATAATTAAAGATCTTGAAGAGAAATAATTATCTTTTCTCTTGAGCATGATATCTATTGAGTAGAAGTATATCATGGTCAATTAATATATCACCAAAGGGTAGAGGTTTTAATTGCGAAGAATTCAAACAAAATAAGACCATCAATGAATGCCCTTATATCAAGCATGCAACGACAAAAGAATCATGTGTGATGACATATGATCCCATCTGATAAATTATGGTTCATAAGCACTCTATCTATGATAAATGAGATGTAAAAAAAGATTTACCATTGTAATATGAATTTGCATTTGATTGTCTTGAATATGAATCTATACCTATATTAGATGTGACTATAAATTTAACTTATACTTTAAGAATCTTTAGTTAAATAATTAAATAAAAAAAAAAACTTATACTTTAAGAGGAATTTAAAATGGAATTAGGCATGAGTATGATGTTACATGTGAATTAGACTTCGAGTATGGCATGAACTCTTGAATTATATATAAATTTGAACCTTCGAGAGAAAGTGAGGGTTCGTTTAAGGTGATAGTATGTTGAGGGTTCGTTAAAGTAATTGTTGAAATGTTGTGAGAAAATAGATTTTTGAATGTCATTTGGGTATTAGATTTTTTTTCCTTTTCTTTAAAAAAATCTGACAATAACTTTCTTAATGTTAACACATTCTTACAAATCTAATTGAAGATAACTTATTCCCACAATAGAATTTATAAGAAGCAACAAGAAATTTGTTGTCAAATAGAACTGTTATAATTATCTATGAGCAAAGCTACCAAAAAGCTGCCTCAAATTACCCTAAATTATCACGGCATCTCTCCTTTTGTCTTGGTTGTGAATCTTCTGAAATATTGAGCCCTATTTCTGCTCCAACTCTTTATGAAAGGTTCTCTTCTCTTCATCCTTTGCCTTTGGATTTGGTTGAAAGCTCCACCCTCCCCCTTCAGCACCCATTCCCACCTTTGAACACTTTGCTTTTGCTCACGAGAAAATCTCCTTGTTAAATCCTATCAATGCTTCTTAATGTTTCAAACTTCTCTTCTCCATAAGCCCTCCTTTTTAAAATCCTTGAAATGCGTTAAAACTCTCCTGGACTATCTAATGCGATATTATTCTTTCTTCTTGCTATTTCCTCACCTCCCTACTCGCTCCTCAAACATTGGACCATCCTTGCTTTGTCCTAAATCATTCTCTTTAATCCCAACTTTTCTTTCCTCTGTCACTTCTATTATGTTTTCATATATTTCTGTTGGTCAATGCTAACTTCATTCACTTATTGTGCGAGCTTAATTAGCATACACCAGAGTTGACTTCACATATCCTCAGTCTGGTTAAATTTCCTCAAATCAAACTCTCCATGCTTTCTAGATTAGTTTAATGGAATTTGGATCTTTCAACCTCCTAATGTTAACTCGACATCTTAGAGTCGTTGACCACACACTGGAAGTTTCACAGTGCATGACCTTCAAATATTTCAGCATGCATTTATATATAATATTGTATCTCTACATTGCAAAAGTAATGACTCCTAAACCACGTACATTTAGAATGACTTTAATTTCACTTTCTATTATCATTTAAGCTTTATTGATCAACTGAATGTTTGAATAATTTGCTCTTAATATCTTAACAGATGTTGATATCTATGATGGGAGTGTGAAAGGAGTTTACTGAACTTGTTGTGCGCACTCTTTGAGTTTTCTGATTTTTCAGGAAAAGGAAAAATGCCCATCTAGATAAGAGTTGATAAGGGCGTAAGTGGATTCAGACTTATGAGATATTATTTTATTTTCCTATATTATTTCTTTTGATGAATAGATCTCATGTAAGTAGGATTATTGTACATAAATTTTGAGAAATGAAATCAAATGGTGTTTAGGCTAATGGTTGAGAAAAAAATTAGGTTTAGAGATTTAATCCTTTCATTAGATCTCGGGGTATGACTCTATTGACCATAACTTTCTCCTTTATTAGATGTTGAAAAATGTTTAGAGAGCCCATCAAGTATATGTCATGGGACTTCACCCCTCTAGTCCCATTAATTTTTTCATGAGAAACAAATTTAGATTCTCCCTATGCTAGAAGGTAATATTTTTTATGCCGTCCTCAATTCTAAGTCTCATAATATTAACAAATTTTTTTCTCATTCCTTCAACCTTAAGGCTAGTTGAGCCATCCCAATGGCTAAAGCAAAATGGCTTGCTAAATTCCTAGATAACTTAAGCAGAGAGCTGCAAGCTCTTGATGAAGCCTTAGCTTCTCCTTCTGATCTAGATAATATAATCGCTAATTACTGCTTGATCTGTACATCACTAATCATTGATCCTTCTCTAGCAATTTCCAATTGGCACCCTTAAGGCAAACTTTCAAGAACTTTTTTACTGGTCTTATGACCAACTAGCGTAGTCACTGTGCTTTTTCCCATGGCCTTAATAACTTTCCTTCCAAAAATTTCTCTTCTTACTAAGATGAGACTGTCAACAAGTTTTTATTGCTAAGATGGCAGAAAATTCGCTCCCTCTTAGGAATTGTTTGCATTAATTTTATGAACTAATAGGCCTAAACTTTAATAATTCCAAGTGCTCCATCTTTTTTTCTTAGAAGCACAAAGTTTATCAATGCTTTGGCTATTGATCTAGATTTTAATATACTTGTCTTTCATTTACTTATATAGACTTCTGTTTTATTTGGGATTATTTTTTTACTGTTTTCTAAAGCAAAATTTAAGTACAAAAATTTCTTGAACAAATTTTTTTGTACTAGAAAGTTGCTTTAAAAAGTAGTTTATAACATTTAAATTCTCATTGGTTCGTGTTCGTCATATTGAAGGTAGATTATACTTACTAGTTGCTCTATTTGAGCTCTAATTATAGGTTAGATCCTTATTTTTTTCACCAATATCATTAGGAAATAAAGAGTCTTTATTTAAAATTTGTTCATGGCGGCTAAGAAATAAAATTACATCTCATCTCTTTGAACAACACTTGCAAGCTGGAAAATAACAAGGCTATTAATGGGAGCTAGCCTATGTTCAAGAATTAGACAACATAGTATTTTTTATGATAAAATGTATACTAATTATGATTTGGCCTTTTTTTTAGATATGTTATGCTATGAATTATTTTGAAATAATGATCATAATTTATATAATTGTTTTTTTTTGGACAATAATCTTAATTTTCAGACATAAATTATTAAATAAAAAAAATATAAACGTTAAAGTTTCATTTAAAGTTTAGTTCTGTAAATAAATCCTGAAAAGCCAAAGCGTTTTCGATTTTTCTACGAATTATGTCTGTGTCGCCATCTCTCATTTAACCCTTGCATCCATGTTAGCACGCGAAATGTCTGTTTCGGGTTCTGCTACCCAGTTCCGATTTCCCAAAGAATCGCACCATTCCACCATACAGCGCCGCATAATCCTCTGGCAACATGGAAGACACTGCTGCGCGTGCGAAAGCGCACCAACCTTCGTCGCCGACGAAGGCCTGGGATGAAACAGAAGCAGAAGAGAAGCCGGAAGCTGAGGCTCGCCGACTCAAATCCCTAGCAGAGCAAAAGCTCAAGTCTTCGTCCCTCAAATCTGCTCTCAAGTATGCCAGACGAGCCCAACATTTATGGCCTGAACTGGACGGCATCTCGACCATGATCATGGCCATTAAGGTCCTCCGCGCATTCCCCACCGATCACTACAAGATTCTCCACGTCGAACCCTTTTCCCATATCAACGCCATCAAGAAGCAATACAAAGCTCTCGCCCTCGTCCTCCATCCTGACAAGGCAGGATCCCCCATCCCCGCAGCCGAAGACGCTTTCAAGCGCGTCGCCGACTCCTTTCGCTTTCTGTCCGATCGCTCCCGCAAGCGGGATTATGACACCAGCCTCCGCCTTGCACTTGCCGACGCCAGTAGTCGCCCAGCGGTAGAGACGTTCTGGACTGCGTGCTTGACTTGCCGCCTCTTGCATGAGTTCGATCGAAGGTACATTGGTTACCGCCTTGTTTGCCCTAATTGTCGCAAAAGCTTTCGTGCTGTGGAGGTGCCATCGGATGGCAATGGCGGGGACAAGGAAGAAATGGAGGCTATGGTCAGGCCTAGAGTTACGGCTGCTCGGTCGAGGACGAAGTCAAGACCTAGGGTTCCGGCCGGGTGGGAGACCTCTGATAAAAAGAAAAGGCCGGTTGTTTCTTCCTTCCCCGATTTACAGAGTTGTAAGCAGAATAAGGAGGAAACATTGGCGGAAATGCAAATGGAACTCATCAGGACCAAGGATAAAGGAAAAACGAAGGTGGAAGAGGACTTAAGCCTGATGGCTGTGGAGGATTCTGACTTTTATGATTTTGACAATGACAGGACTGAGAAGTGTTTCGCCAACGGTCAAATTTGGGCAATTTATGACGACGACGATGGGATGCCGAGGCATTATGGACTGATTGATGAAGTTATGTCTTCCAGCCCATTTAGAGTGAAGATGTGCTGGTTAGATGCACTGGTTGATGGGGATGAATCGCTGTTGCTTTGGGAGAAGTCTGGACGTCACATTTCTTTTGGGAGGTTTAAGATTGGTAGAAAGGTTGAAATGGATTCAGTAAACTTGTTCTCACATATAGTGGAAAGTGAAAAGGCGGCCAAGGAACTTTTCAGGATTTATCCCAAGAAAGGTTCAGTTTGGGCACTTTATGGCGAGATGAATTATGGGAGAGAGCAGAGGTCCTATGATATCGCAGTTTTCCTTACTTCTTATAGCGAGATGTTTGGTTTGAGCATGGGATATCTTGAGAAGGTTGAAGGGTACAAGACGATATTCAAGAGGACGCAGATTGGTCCCCATGCTGTTAGATGGCTTGAAAAGGATGATATTATGCTGTTTTCCCATCAAATTCCAGCACGGAAACTTGCAGAAACTGATGGGTTGAATCTTCCTGGAGATTGCTGGGAACTTGATCCAGCTTCACTTCCTGCTGACTTGCTTCAAATTGTCCGGTAAAGTTCATTATCGTATTTGTTGCTCATTTATTTGTTGAAGAAAATGCTATGGAACTGTCCTGTTGTGTGTGTATACGACCGTGGTTCCAGGTATGTCGTATTCTTGTCCACTTCACAAGTAAAGGACAGTTTCTTGTTAATTGTGGGAAGTGTTTTTGCTGCCATGCATCAACTCTTCTGTTCATAAATTTCTTTCCAAATTGTTAGATTTTTGGTTCATCCTATATGTTGCATGCTTGAATATTTGCGGTGCCAGAATGTGAGTTTATTGCCTTAATATTACTAAAAAAGTTAGCATACTCACAAAAGTTCACCCTTCTTTACCATTGGAGAAAGCGGCATTACAATGCATTGTAATGAACGCTGGCGTCAGTTAACGATTAATGATGAAAATGTCGGATTTTAGCATAGTTTGATGGAAGACAATGATAGAAAATGGATTTCGACGTAGTTTTGTCTATAGTCGATGGTTGGCATTGATGAGGGACATCAATTGCAGTTGATAATGAATGTTGCTTGTTTGCATGCAGAGCTGTGGAAATCTCTAAGTCGTATAATTTTCTTCTTTGGAGTATTCGTTAAAGTGTATAAGCATGACCTAATTATAGACTCTCAAGAGGACATCATGGTCAATTTTATAATAATCTTTGATACTCCTAGTTAGCATGGGAAGATTTCTATTGTTCATTATATTTTTTTCAATCACTAGTGCTTTAATAATCTAGGAATTGAACGATCTTAGGATTCGTCTTGTCGAAATGCTAGCTCCTACTATTAGCATGTGAAAATCAGTGATGATTAAATGATCTCGCAAAGTTTTGAATTATACTAATAAGTGTTTGATTTTGGCTTATGTGGGACTCGGATCAAAACATCCTTCGTTTTGTTAGGTTTGTTTGGTTGAGCGACTTAATTTGAATAGAAATTTGTTGCAAATAGAGTTTGGATGATCAAATCAATTCTCAAAGTCTTTGAGCTTAAATGTTCATATGCTTTAATAATCATAAACAGTGTCGAGATTTGTGTTTGATAAGATGCATTTTTTTTTTGTGACATAATAATTGCCCATATTTTTAAATATCCAAATTGGCCTGTTTAAAAATAAATTGGGTTTTGAAAATTTTTAGATGCAAAATCACGATCTCAGGAAAATAAGGTGCGACCCATTCCTTGATGCCATTGTTGATCTCCAGTCAGGGCCTTGAATCATTTAATTCCCTATAGATGATAGTTTTACCACCTAGATTGATCTCTTGGCTCTGCAAAGAAAGGTATATAGCCGTAGTTGGCTTGTTTCTATATTTTACTAGCTAATCTTCAAAAGCTAACATATCTTTTGTATTAGTATTTTACCACCATTTATATTTGTCTTCAAGATATTTAATCTTCACAAATTCTATGTTCAACGCCAATATACATTCTTTTCAGCATTTGAAACAAGCACATATTTGTGCGAGCAAAATGTAAAAAGAAAAAGAAGAAGAGCAAAAAATAACTCACTAATTTATCAGTTGCATATATAGTTCATCACCTTCTTTGGAATATATAATTTCAAATGAATTTAATAAAGAAGAATTCTTGCTGCTTGTACCATCTGTTGATACTGCCAAAGCTTCATCCATTTTCTTCTCTGAGTGGGATATTTCATCATTATTTTGTAAAGGTTGTTTGGATAAAGCTTTTGAAATTTGAGTGATTATCTCACATTTTTAACAGTAGAGACTGAGATATTTCTGTAGGAATAGAAAGACCATCTTTGAATAAAAGTTCTCGTTCACATATCTATCTAGGTAATGTATCTCATATTGAAAATTCTTAATATTAAAAATATTGATAATCCTCAATATGTCTGCTTCTCCAACATGAAGTTTAATAGCGGCTATTTTAATCTTCCCAATTTTTCAACAAGACCCCAATCATTTGTAAAGAAAAAATATATTCGACCAGTTATTCAAGTGATTTCTCATTTGAATGTCCTGCCATTTACTCTCAAGTGACGCACCTTGAGTGTCACATGTAAATCTACCTATTTTTGCAAAATATTTTAGTGTCAGCATCACATCACAATTTTTTGAAGACAATCAATCCAATAACAATTTTCATAGCCATGCATGAAAATTGGGTTAGGCTAACCTTGCTTGTTGTCGAAACATTGGTTAATTTAGGAGTTGTGGAACTTGTATAGAAACCTATCTGATAAATTATAAGATGTCCCAATGGTGGAGATTAGGGGTGTAAACGAGTCGAGTCGAGCTCGAGTTAGAGAGTGTTTGAGCTCGACTCGCAAGTTTAATATCGAGCTCAAACTCGAGTCCAGCTCGAGCTCAACTCGCGAATGTTTTGACGACGTATTATATATAATTATATATATATGTATATATTTGAAAATTTCACTATTTTAGTAACGAGTAAAGCTGCAGCATTTATTAACATTCATATTTGATGCTTTTTATTATTATTAACTATGCGGCTGTTGAAGATTAGAATTTTTTTTTTATTTTTAAATGTAATAAAAATATTAATAATAAAAAAATTAAACAGTAGTTCGAGTCGGCTCACGAGCTCACGAGCCGAGCCTTATAAAGCTCGAACTCAAACTCGCTTACTAAACGAGCTCGTGTTTGAGCTCGAGCTCGACTCGTGAGCTCGATAATCTCGGCTCCCGAGCCCATAAGCTCAGCTCGCGAGCCCATAAACGAGTCGAGCTCGAGCCGGCTCGCGAGCCGGCTCGGCTCACTTACACCCCTAGTGGAGATTGGGCCAAATTAGATCTTCACTACAGGAATTGTTTCGAGCAAGAAAACATGACTTTGTGTGAATGAGCTGATGGAAGAACGAAGCGGTGAGTTAAGGGCTCTTACCGACAGATTTCCGGCGAAAATCTTTGCCATAAATTCTATCATAAATTTTCGACGAATTTTTATCCAGTAATTTTGTCGCTGCTTCCGACGAGGAGTATTCCGCCGGAAAAATTGCTGAGAATTCCTTTTTTACTATAGTGCTTCTAAGAGGTAAAAACATCAAATAATTCAGAAAATAAATTTGTTTGCTGAAGATTATCAAAGTATTGCCAATAATGATATATTTCACATCATCAGCCAATGGCGCTTCATCTAATCTCCTTGGATCATCTTTTTGTATAAGAATCAGTTGGGTTTCTTTCAGCATTAGAATTATACACACCGTATATTCATGAAAATATTATATTGGAACCTTCGAAGGGAGAATTATATATGACCTATACAAGATAGTGGGAAAATTTTTCAAGAAAAAAAGTTGAAGCATACAGGGAGAGAATTGAGAGGTGTGAACTTTTCTCTCTGAGGTGATATTTATCCTTAAAGAAGAGATTGGAAGATTGAATTTAAATATATATATAAATTTTGAACATATATATATATATATATATATTGATTTGTAGGAGGCAATGGAGGCACCTTGTGGGCGTCCTATGCAAAGAGATGTGGACCCAGGTGCTTGATGGGTCCAATGGTGGCTGACTGTCCAATCCGACGTGTTTTTTCATGCAGAAATAGGTTAAATCGAACGTATTTTTGTATGTGGGATTATGTTTTTATGTTTTGGACTCGATTTCGATAGTTTTGATGCCCAACAAAGACTTTATGATCAAATTCAAATAAATTTAAACATTTTAGAGCAAATTTTTCCAACAATTTTGATTCCAATTGATGTGCCAAAATCAAGGAATGTAGAAATTGTGATTTAAGATAATTTACTTCTTTTACGCTTTGTGGGAAGGACCACGTTGACAACTAAGGAGTTGTTTTATTTATTTATTTTTTAAATTGTTAATTAACTCCGCTGAGTTTTTCTAAGATTGAAATGATACTTTTAGATGATATTGGTTTCAACATTCGAATATAAGGGGCAAATGCTACATCTCTAGAAAATTTATTTGATAGGCATGAATCTCGAGGTAATATTTGAATTATACTTTTTTGGAATTAAATTCAAGGCAATATACTCTCCAATTTTAATAAACTTATTGATGAATTAAATGATATATGAATATTACAAGTTTATAGTCAAATTGAGCGTTTTGACTATTCGAATTCAATAAGCCCAAGATCATTCAAGTATGATGTTATTAAGGCACTCAATTGCTGAGTAAATGATCTATAGCTATGGGAAATTATTGGGCCGTTTTATGGACAGTTTTTTATTCTAATCAAATTTATTAAAACACCTCTCATGTATAAGATCCTTTTTTTCTACATGAAGGAGGTTATGGAGTTGAGAGATGTCAAGAGCTCTAGTGCTTAAATGTTAATGTCGCAAAATAGCACGCACATGGCACGACGCGGCGGGGTGTAGCCACGGCTCGATCTGTATGGTTCGACAATGGGTTTAAAAAGTTTGCGCGCTATTTGCTCTGTGTATGCGCAATGGCGCATGACACAAATAGTGCGTACAATTGAGGGAAAGAGCAAACTCTTATATCTTTAATTATATAGTTAACTATTTTAATTGGGTCATGCCTTATGATATTTTCCTTTTTTTTTTGTTTTTCCATGTAAAAAATATGTCTCTTGCAATTTCTATTTTTGCATGTGCTGAATTTTTATACAAAGTTAATATATTAAATACTTTTCATATCAACTTCAATTTTCTAGCACATAAATAGTTTGATGTATTTGTGGAAAGTATATTCCAATATCCTTATAAGATTATTTCAATAACTGATATGAGTAATACTAGTTGTAGTAATTTTGTTTTTTTAACACTCCTTAGGCCAAGAATCTGCTTGACAACCATGGACATTGTAATAAGCCAAGAATGGGCTCCGAAAATCCATCCCTAGAGGATCGAATATGCAATGTGTAGGAGGAAAAAATCTAAATCCTTCAATTATTGGAGGCGGCTGGCCAATAGACCGCGATATATTGGAACTTGCCAGCCACAAAATCAACATTATAAAGAGATGGACAATTTTAAGATGCCCAAGGAGGATACCCTTGTCGTCATATTGTAGTTTCTCCTCCACCACAATCTCTAACCTAGAACTTATTGACACTGTTAGTTCAACTCATTCTTCTCGTGTTAGCTCAACCAATGTGGAATCCTCCACTAGCCTTAGTGGACTTTACGTGATCTCGTCTTATGGATACTTCTTGTGCTATTATACGAGATAAATTATAATGTCTTATTTAAAAAAAAAAATTATAAAGGATACCTAGTTTATTGGAGTCCTTATAATAGATGAAATTCTTTGGCATCCCATTTCAGTGGGGTTCAAGCTGCTTGTTATTGACCTATTGAATGGACTTAATCTCTTTTTTATGTGATGGGCCCTACTCAAAGGTTTGATAGTTTCCATCCATATTTGACAAGCTACAAACTTCTTAATTATTGGAGATAAATAGTATAAAAGACTATTTATGGAAATATTTTTGAAGTGTCTTCCACTATTGGAGGCCAATTATGCTCTTTGAGAAGCCCATTTAGGAATTTGTACAGTACAATTGGGCGGCAGTGCATCCACTCATAAAACCTTAGGATATGGATTCTACTTGCTTACAATAAAACACAATGTATTAGATTTTCTTCAAAAATACAAGAACTGTCAAATGAATTATAATCTCACTCATGTTCCACTAATATAAGTTTTCTCTCTCCAAGGCCCTTTCCCCTTTGCTCAGGGAGGGATTGACATCGTCTTACTTTTTCTCATAGCCCTTGGATAATGGAAGTTCATTATTCTGATTGCTGGATACATCACAAATTGGGTGAAAGCTGTGCCACTCGCAAAAAAAAAATTAAGCAAATGTGAAGCAGTTTGTATAGAAGAATATTATTTATTGCTTAAGCCTTCCCACAAAAATTATCTATGTTGAAATCCAATGCACTGGAAATATGTTTACATCTTTTGCAAAGATATTCGTAGTAAATTGGTTAACACAACTGTCACACATTCTGAAATATATAGACAAATAGGAGTAACTATGAATCATTCTCAAAGGATTAGAGACATGCCTTGAAAAGGCTGAGAGCCAATGGGCTGAAGTAGAGGTGTCAATTTCAGGTCACGGGTCGGGTTCGGTTCGACTCACGGGAGAGGGCAGTGGTCGCCGGCGGTGCAGGAAACGAGGGGCAGACGCCAGACGGCGACGTGACTAGCGCAGGCGGCGACGTGACTCAGGCAGGCAACGCGCATCATGCGGGCAGGCGACCGCGATGCGAATCCGTCTCGGGCAGGCTACGCGCAGTCACATGGCCAGGCAACCGCGACGCAACTCCGTCTCGGGCAGGCAAAGTGGGGCATCCGGGGCAGTTTCCGGGTAATTTCTGGGTTTCCGGGTCAACTCAAACCCGACCCGATTTTGCAAACAGGTTGATTTTCTGGACCTGAATCGACCCTCTTCGGGTTCGGGTCAACCCAAACCCGAAATTTTCAGGTCGGGTCCAATATTGACACCCCTAGGCTGAAGAGCTTTTCAATACACTTTCGGCTTATACCATGACAGTAAGAATCAAAATAGAAGAAGTACCTCATAATCTATATTTTGGCACATACAGGATCTAAACTTTTGCTGTGGCCAGTAATGAGGACAATCTCTGTTATTATCTTAACCTTCTTCTAAAACACCTGATGCAACTTCATTCAAAAGTTCTTCCTATCCACCAACAAGTAGCTTGTCACTTTAATCAAAGGGTAAAACCCCTATCTATATATGTTGGAGATATATGCTTCATTTGTGAAGATTTTTTTATTGCTTCTTAAAGTAGCTTTATAGTATAAAAATTTAAAATTTTTGTACGAGAAAGCTGCTTTAAGGAGCAGTAAGAAAGTCATCCCAAATGAAGTCATAATCTTACAAAGCCTTGAAGTTATTGGGAGGTATCTCAACATAATCAACCTTTTTGGGAGGGAACTTATGTGGTGGTTGCCATTGTCAAGCCTAGAACATTCAAACTTAATGATTCAAATGGGAATATTCTACCTCAAACTTGGAATGCTCAAATTCAGAGGTATTATCAATAACCCCTAGTAAGCATCATATACAGTTCCTAGTTAGATTTCTACAACATTGGTAATGTCATGTTAGACCCGAAAGAGCATTATCAGTCTAAAGATTGATCAATCTTCAGCTTTGATTTGGGATATGCTTGGTATTCGGCTCACCCGAAGCAAAGTACAATCGATATCTGAGGGATTCAATTCAACATCTTCTACATAGATTACTATCATCGAATAATATTCTGACAAGCAACATCGGATTGGTAAATTATTATTGTTGAATTTCTTTCAACATCTTCCATCATAGGTTAAGGTTTTAGCAACATTGCATATAGGAGTAAATTTATTAAAATTATAATATTCATGAGCTGAGCATAAAATGTCATTTTTTATTTATATATAAATAAATAAAATACTTTCATAAGCATCTATACTACCACCAGTGGTTGAAGCATTTTTCGCATCATCTTCTATATTTAAAAAGTTTCCTCAGATGCTTGACTTGGTGATCTTCAATGTTTGTTCATGTCCTACTATACACCAATCGAGTTCCTTTTAAAAAACCTTGAAAGAAACCTTCTTCAAGGCATTGATGTTTTAAACACTTCATCTCCACATTCTATATATGTTCACAAGCCTTTTGAAGTGATATTGAATCATGCTCTTACAGGCCTTTTTTTCTTATAATTTTTTTGTCTTTAAGTGCAATAATCTAGCTTTAACCTTAGCCTCTAATAAAGTTTCCTTTGATAGCTCAGCTTTTTTTTTCTCGTCAAGAGTATCTATCTTCGCTTTAATAGTTTTCAAACTCTTTATTTCCTTACTAATTTTCACTCGTGTATCCACCAATCATCTTGGGTCCGATCGATCTTTGGCACTACGAAGAAAGAGAAATATCTATAATTGATACCTTGATTGTACATTCTGTCGACCGATCTTCTAAGGCTATCACATCTTTAGCAGTAGCATTATACCTCTATTTATATTCTCTTTGAATATATTAAGAGTAAAAGCTCAAAATAGTACTCTTACTATTAATAAATGCCTAATTTTGTTCCATAGTTTCACATAGTCCTAATTTAATCCCTCAACTATTGAAAATTTGATCCAATTTAATCTCATGGCCTAAAATATGAGTTAAATTTAACTCCAAAGTTAAATATGAGGGTATTTAAGGTAGTGTAAGTGTATGTGAGATTATATTGTTTATTTTGCTATATGTTATCATTTAATAAATTATAATTCATATAAATATTTGAATGAAAGTTAATCTACTAAATAATAAAAATGAATAACTAGTAAAAAATTATATTTTTTAAAACAAGCAAATGGTTCCTAACATTACAACTTATTTTTATCTTGCTAAACAAATAATTCCTAAGAATAAAAAGATCAAAATCATATGAATGGGGATATTAGGAAGATAAGCAAATCTATCATTAACTCTGTCTCCTTGTGGATGTCACACCTTGCTCAACATCGCCATCTCTAGATGTTTAAGAGCATTATGGTTGCTCGCGGTTGCCGCAGCAGCACATCTCCCAATGTTCATCCCCATGGGATTATACTAAAATGATAACATGTCGCCTCGCTCGCAGCACATCAAAGCTTGGAGAATAAGCGCTTTGTCTTGCTCATAGCAGCACAACATTCCATCTCCTATGGAATTATACCGGCTCACGCTCGTGGTCTTTATCCATGAAGATCTCGGCCTTCCATGCCATGTCACCACGTGATGTTAGATCTTGCACAGCATAAGTTTGTTGTTCATACTACAAGTGCAAAGAAGACGCATTTGGGTCTTTATAATGTTAACACGATACCATTTATGCAAAGGTGAAGATTTTTTATTTTTTGTTATATGCATATGATAATGTTAGAAGTTTCTATGCTATTCTAAGGTTATTCTCAATCTTCCCCAGTGTGTGGCTCTTTTGTGCATGCCAACATGGTGCGTCTAAATCTTATGAAGTCCAGTGTATTCTGTTATATAATCCTTTTAATTGAAAGGTAACGCTTTTTGTCCAACTCTTCGAAATTTTAGCCGTCTCATTTTTGTTAAGTTTTAAAAGTCCTCCATTTGGTGTGTTTTAAGGTAATGGCTAAACAAAACGAATGGATTTCTCTTGATATTGTAAAATTGCCTTATAGCTACTGAGGCTCGTCAAACATTTATTTGGCTTCACTTTCCGACACTCTAAGTAGGAGTTTTGGGAATAAAATTAGGAATTTGGGAGGAGAGAAAAAGAAAAGAAGTCATGTTGATTCTTTCTTCCTAATCGGGAGTTCTGTGCTTAAAGAAAAAAAGATTCATCCTCTTTTTGACTGAATGTTGAAAAGAGATAGAAGAAAAATATTAATTTGCTTTTAGTACTCGTTCATATCTTAAACTTTGCTGGTGTTAGCATTGTGGTATCTTCGTTCTCTCATTTTTTGTTGGAATGGTGAAAGACAAATTACAAAGTATGTTATTCAAATTTATGATTTTGAAGAAATAACTATGGGCTGTGTTTCGTTCATATTCTCTCTTTCTCCCTTCGGTTCTCTGCCTTCATTTCTTTCTTTTGTAAATGAGGCGTCTGAGCACCAAGCTTTTCCTTTTTATTTAGCCTCCTAAATCAACTTCCATATCTCCTAACTCTAAGTTCCTGCATCTCTACGACGAAAATCTGAGAGTCTCAATGCAACAGGCCTCTCAACAACAAGCCAGTTGCAGAGCGGCTGCAGCAGTGGTACTCCACATCTGATGATACAGACCTCAACTCCGCTGACACCCTAAGGTTTAGTTTTGGGCGACTTTCTAATTGCTTCTTAAAGCAGTTTTCAAGTAAAAAAAATTAATTTTTTTACTAAAAATCTGCTTTATGAAGCAGTAAGAAAGCTGTCCCAAACGAAGCCTTAATCCTAGTATCAAATGACCTGAAACCCTATGAAACGAACTTTATCCAAACCCACAATTCCTCAAACAAGTGATCTAGATGTTGCTTTAATATGTAGTACCAAAGCATTTTTTGAAATTGAGAAAAAAACTTGTTTCCATGTGGTATGTGGCATTTGGGTTTTTTAGCCTTGGGTATCTAAATAGCAAATTTAAGAACTTTGTTTTTTTATAAATTACCAAGGTTGATAGCAACAATTGTTGAGCTCTGCTCTGAATCTAACATCCGTTATTTAAAGTTTCAATTATAGTTAATTCAGCAACCGTTGGGAATTGCTTAAGCTTTTAAAATCTGAAGTGCTACCTGCAGAATTTCGTTCTTAAAGCCTTATTTAATCCATGGTAATCATGTGGTCAGTCTGCAGAATAGTTTTGATGGCTGTTACTTTTATATGCTTCTGAATATAATCTACTTTCAGAGGATCTGAATTTTGAGAATATTTATAAATTTTTAAAACATATTTTTTCTTAGTTTTTCATCATGGATTGAATAAAGATTTGAATGAAGTTTACCAGGTTTACCCAAGTTTTGGTTGGTTCATTGAGGAAAATGTAAATGAGGGTTGTGTGTTAAGCTACTTTGGTTCCTAATGGAGAGGTGCTTTGATCATTGAAGGAGAAGATAACTAAGAGAGAGGAGGAGATGCCATACTTATATTTTAAGTGAGTCAACACTTTAGGGATACCATATTATTACTTCCACTATGGGGAAGAGGGGAAACCTAGCATTATTGAGAAAAGAAAAATAGTTGAGATACGACATCACCAAGCTCTTACTTTCACCCAAGCTACACAATTATAAATATGAGTTCTATCTCACTTGTCTGAAAATATCCTCCAGAAGGCAAGGATGATATATTTATAATTAGCATCACAGCTTGAGGATTATTAACTATTCTGTGCGGAGGATGAACGTCATCAGGAGACCAATCAGAATGCGTCACGTTACCCCTGTGCTGTGTACCGCGGCTCGGTACTGCTTTGTACCATGGCTCGGTGTCGCTGACGTGGCTGCACTTGATTCACCTCTGGACGTAGAGCTATGTATGGCCCTCCGCATAGAATAATTTCTCCAGCTTGAGGTGGTGTTGAGATGGATGATGATGTGTGGACCATGATCGATAATATTCGGCACATCATTGGCAGCGTTCCACTTGACAAGCTTGGAAATGATTAGGTTTCAAGTGGTGGATATTTGATACTTAAATATTCTCCAGTGGTCATTGTTCCGTGTCGGTAGTAGTTAGATTGAGAGGTGAAAGTTGCAAATGCATCAAGGCTAGAAGAAGAAATCTATGGGGTTCCAGAAATGGAAGAGGTCGGGGCTACAGGACATTTGTGCTGCACTGTACTTAACTTGCATTTGGCAACTAAACTGACAGAGAATCCAATAGTTCTGTAAGCTATGCATGTGGCACGACATGGTCCATGATGCCAAATGTGAATTTAAAAAAAAAAAAAAATGTTGGGTTTCTTATGAATATAATACTGAAAATTTTGAATTGCTTGAATATTTTTATGGTGTTATAAAATATAAGCCTGGTTGCTTTTTCAGTGCCAAATGGAGTCACTGGTTTGTTCTGGAAGTGAAGCAAAATCTGCCTTAGGTTTTGTTTGGGATGATTTTTTTACTGTTTCTTAAAGCAGTTTTTTAGTACAAAAATGTTAATTTTTGTACTAGAAAGCAGCTTTAAGAAGCAGTAAGAAAGCCGTCGGGACGGTTTTTTTATTACTTTCTAAAATGGAGTTTTAGTACAAATTTTTTTTATTTTTGTACTAAAACTTCGTTTTAGAAAGCAATAAAAAAGCCGTCCCAAACGAAGCCTTAGTCTCATAGTAAAAAGAAGAAAAAAAAAGTCAATATATCAACCAAATATGATTAGCCTGGAATTTTCTATTAAAATCAGTTGATTTCAATGCTTCTGTCCCCAATCATAGCCATAGTTTTCTTATTATCTAAAAAATCAGTTAGAATAGATTGAAGTATTCTCCAAAGACATTAATAACATAGTAAGAAGCTAAAATATTGTACTATAGACTTTCAAATAATTAGTAGAAAATTTGTTTGTTTTTTTATTCGTCGATCAGGTTAAAAGAAAGAGTATTTGTGACACTTGGAAGGAAAACACCTTTCTCTGAAACTAATTAGCATTTCATAAGATGTCATTAACATTAGTAGGTTGTTAAAACTTGAATAACATCTTTCATTGTGTTGACATAGTTTAGTTTTATAAAACTTTTATCGTTGTTTTAGGCTTCGTTTGGGTTGACTTTTTTACTATTTTTTGAAACAATTTTCTAGTATAAAAATTTTTGTATTTAAAAACTGCTTTAAAAAGCAGTTAAAAAGCTGTTCCAAACAAAATATTAATTTTAAACTGAATTTTTGTTGGACGGCAAAAAGTGACTCGCAGGATGATAGTTGACATCGTTTACTGATGGTGAGTTAATTAAGTTACTCTTTTAAAAACTTTGCTATATCATACTTTTTTTGTTTTATTTTGGTTTAAAAAGGTTTCAAAAGAACTACAGGATAGGTGTAATTTGTCTATGTATACCAAAATGAATTTACTTTTATCACATGCTAAATAATTTAACATAATATCAGCTAATGAAGTCTGGACTGCACATCCCTAATGTGTCATTAAGGCTTCGTTCGGGGAATTTTTATTAGGTCCGGTGTCCTTCTGTAGCTTTACGTTCGGACACCAGTAAAATGGTGTCGTCACGTGCTCTTACTCTTTACCGCGCGGCCCGACGACCCGTCCCGGACCCGGTATTGCTATGTATTGGCTGATTTGTGCAGACCGGGGTATTGCTCGGTAACGAGAAATAACATTTTGTCAATACCAATATCTAGCAATACCTAGCATTACTGAGCAATTCCCCGGTTGTACTAGGTATTGCTCCGTATTGCTATGTTTTGCTCGGTATTGGTCTTGAAAGATCGGTATTTCTCGTTATTGTCAAGTAATACGTAGCAATACACTAACATAGCAATACCGGGTTCCGATCCGGGTCGCGTCGTCGGGCCGCACGGTAAAGAGTAAGAGCACGTGGAGACATGTTATTGACGTCCGGATGTAGAGCTACGTCAGGTGTCCTGACCAAATAAAAGTTCGTCATTAAGGCTTCGTTCGGGACTCTTTTTCATTCTTTATTTTTTAATTCTCTATCATAATTTGGCGAAATGCCATACGGGTCAAAAACCAGAGCCCGAACCCGACCCGTTTCGGGTTCGGGTTGACCCTAACCCGAATTTCTCGGGTCGGGTTCGGGTCGTGTTTTCGGGTCGTGTCAAATGTTGACAGGCCTAATCATAATGGATCCTTGTGTTCGACTTACTGTTAAATAAAAAAAATATATATATTGCAGGAGCAAAATCTCCATTTTGCTACAAGGAGAAAAAGTCTTAACTCCATCTGCCCATTACTAGGGAGATTATTATATATGCACTGCATTTAATATACATTTTGTTTTGTGTATTACATCTAACTCATCTAATAATTTTTTTTTCTCACCAACATGAAGATGAAGCCTTAGCTTTCAACTCCATTATCCATCTTTCTTGCTATTAAAGAATAATTCTCAATCGTTTTATTGAATTAAGCTTCATTTGGGATAATTTTAAATCACTAATTTTTTATTTTTAAA